CTGAGCTGAGCGGGGCGGACGGCGGCGGCGGGGCCCGAGCCCGAGAAGATGGCGGTGCGGAAGAAGGACGGCGGCCCCAACGTGAAGTACTACGAGGCCGCGGACACCGTGACCCAGTTCGACAACGTGCGGCTCTGGCTCGGCAAGAACTACAAGAAGGTATGCGGCCCAAACAGGCAGGGCCGCGCGGGGGCCGTGGGCGGGACAAAGGGGCTGCGACCCCGCAATCCCCGGGGTCCTGCCCACCTTCCTGCCGCCCCCGGCCCCTCCCCCGCGGCCTCCGAACGGCTCGGCGCTCCCTCCGCCCCGCCCGGCGCCCCTGCCCCTCCCCCAGCTCATTTTACCCCCACCCCCAGCTTGTGATTCTAGCCTCTGTGCCCTCTGCCCCTTTTCTCCTCTGTCCGGGTGGGTTCCGGTGCTAGTAGACAGCCCTCTCCCAAGCCATCGCCTTCCCGGTTCTTCCGGGAGAGACGGCCTGGGGCTGATGGGGCGCTGAGTGGGCACCCTCAGAACGTGCCCGCCACAGTGCCTGCCAGAGCTCCCCAGGGAGCCAGGTACCAGCAGGGCTGAGGCCTCCCCGGTGCTTTGTGTGTGTTCAGAGAGAGATGATGAAAGAAGAAGGGTGAACAGTCACACAGCAGGCCCCAGGCTGCTCAGCAGCCTTAAAAAGACCCCCATCCCAACGACGACATCACCTGTCCCCACCACTCATCCCCACCCCCCTCCATCTAAGGGGCAACCAAATCTCTTTGGGAGCCAGGGTATAGGAGTTCTTAGGCAGCGGCCTCCTAAAACCGTTCCTCAGCTTCACAATGAAGGCACCCTGTGACCTAGCCTTGCATTGCCTTGGGTTTGGGGTTCACAGGCTAGGACAAACCTTATAGCTTGCCTTCCACAGTCAGATCCATAAGTGGAGATACTAAAGTAGCAAACAAAGGGTTCAAGAAGGCTTACCTGTCTTGTTAGCAAGCCTCTTCCTGGTATCTTCTTTGTCTTTAGTTCCTTTCGGTAAAAGGAATATCTACACTTGGTTATTTCTCTGAAAATGGTCTCTGTCTCCCTTGCTTCTCACTGCCCCCAATTAGGGGCTCTCTCTCTGATTTTCTTTCCACTCTCCAGTTCTTCCTGCCCAGCCTTGCAGCCTGTCAAAAGTGTGAGGGGTGGACTCCCTGCTCTGATCCTGACTTTGAGTCTGGCCTTGTTCTTCAGTCTCCCTGGGTGTCAGAATCCTGACAGACAGCTGCTGAGTTTGTGGCTTGTTGCACCTCACTGTGAGGCTCTGGTTCCCAGGCTTCTACCTCTGACCTTTTGGAAGGGAGATCAGGCTAGGGGCTTAGTCTCTGGCCCTGGTGGGATTGACAGCCTGTGACCTGGTTCAGCTTTCATGCTCTTAGCTCTCTATCGTTTACTTTTCATTCACTGATCTCTTTACACCTCCTACTGAGAGGAGCTCTCTTCTTTTTGCTTAGGGATGAGGAAACAAGCATCAAAAGGTAAAGAGAAAGTTAGCATCTGGCTTGGGTTTTTAGCTAGAAGACTAGAATGCTAGATAGCATAATACGGAAATGTTTAAGTAGGTTGTTTGTGTCACATATAATTTTCTCAGAAAGGAAGATACTGTCTTGCTGTTCCCCACCAGAGAGGTGCTGGTCCTTCTGATCCACAAGGACCCACACCGAGCTTAAAGACATGTATGCCCAGTTCCTAGCAAGATGTGTAAGCTCTTTCTCAGTCTGTTTGTCCTACCTCATTTACTTGCATCTTTCTTGTTAGGCCACATTGTAGAGGAAATCTTAACCTTCCATAAAGTTCCTCTAAGACATTCACTGTGGTCTTCTTTAGTGAGCCTAGGTATTGCTTCCATGATCCGCACTCCAGTATTTTACAACCCTCTGCATTGTTGACTAGGGATCAGGTGCCATGATGACAGACAAGGTCCTGCAATTCATTTCAGGGTGAGACTGAGGGAAGAGTAGGAAGCTTCCCTCATCTATAGCACCCAACACTGGCATTCTGAGCTGGTGACAGCAGAATTTGAACTTCCTGGTTAGGGGTGTGCAGGCCCTCCCTTCTGCCACTTTCTTTACAGAGACTTAAACATCTGGCGAGAAAAGCACTATTTTCTCAGCCCTAGATGCTTCCAGAGCACCTGCAGAAGAAATCTGGGAGATGGTGGACAGTTTATCTAAGGTCTATTTGTCTTTCCTTTCCCTCTGTTTCCCCAGTATATACAAGCTGAACCACCCACCAACAAGTCCCTGTCTAGCCTGGTTGTACAGTTACTACAATTTCAGGAAGAAGTTTTTGGCAAACATGTCAGCAATGCACCACTCACTAAACTGCCGGTGAGTGCAAAACAAAGGGGGCAAATCCTCCGATCTGGAGAGGGAGTTGTACTTTTTTGATATATTTGTAAATTTCATAATTTTTTCAGATCTGGGTAATTTACTACCATACCTGCACCTAGTCAGGGTATTACTGGTTTGACCGCATCCCCAAGTTACCATTCCCTTCGTCTTAGAAATACTTTGAGCAACAGATTATCTCAGAGCATCTGGGCTCAGTCCATGAAACTCTCATGGCATGACTAAAAGGGTATGAGGTTTGGATTTGTACAGGCTGGTGTTCAAATCCTGGCTCTGCCACTTGATGGCTCTGTGGTCTTGGGCAAGCCATTTAACCTTTCTGAATCTTGGTTCCTTCATCTCCAGATGAGAATAATAATAGCTACCTTGTAGGGTTTCCATAATGGTAAATGAGGTAACCTAGTAAAGTGCTTGGCACAAAGTGGTGCTTTGTGAATATTGGTTTCTTTCCCTTCCCTCTTCCAAGCCACATGATACAATGGTTAAACAATTCCAGCTTTGAGAAGGAGATGAGTCCAGCATGGGGTTGGATGAAAGGGTGATAAGAGAATGTAGGATATAACTCTCACATACTTCTTCCCTGTCTCAATTTTGTAGATCAAATGTTTCCTAGATTTCAAAGCAGGAGGTTCCCTGTGCCACATACTTGCAGCTGCCTACAAATTCAAGAGTGACCAGGGATGGTGAGATGCCTTCTCTATGCTTCTTACATCTAGTTTAGAGGAAATCCGCCTTTATGATTCTCTGGGGCCTTTTGGGGGTGGGAAGGCGTAGGTAGGAATTCTTGAGCGTCTTTTACTTTGTTAGGTCAGTAGGCCTGACTTACTAGATCAGAAAAATGGCTGGGAATCATAGCCAAAATAGTCTCCAAGAGTAAGTGAGTATATGTGTGTATGCATCAGTGTGTGTCTTGTAGAGGGAAAGGGATTCTTAAGTTGGCATCTCAAGCTTTTCTTTGTCCTTTTGGACTAAGTACAGGGTGATTCTAGGAGTTGAGATCAGTGAACCCCAGATCCCAGGTGATATTGGCAAAAGCAAGATCACCTCCCAGTTTCCCACATTAAGAAGTCATATACTCTAACCTCATTCCCAGACCTGAGCTATACCACTCACTAGATTATTGCCCCTTCGCAAGGCGGCGTTATGATTTCCAGAATCCATCACGTATGGACCGCAACGTGGAAATGTTCATGACCATTGAGAAGTCCCTGGTGCAGGTAATAGTCAAGAACATCCCACATCTGTCTCCCTTCCCTCTATGAGAATCCCAAACACCCTTTCCCCATAATCTCAACCATCTGTTTTTCCTCCCCACAGAATAACTGCCTATCTCGACCTAACATTTTTCTGTGTCCAGAAATTGAACCCAAACTGCTAGGGAAATTAAAGGATATTATCAAGAGACACCAGGTAAGTAGATGGGTCAGGGAAGGTCTCAAACTCCATGACTCTCTGCCTGATGTTTTCTAGCAGTAGTCCTGACGCGGTACAACAGGAAAGTGCTTAGGGCTTTTGTTCAGCGTGACTTTCTGTGTGCCATGTTTTTTACTACAGAGGTGGCTCTACTTATTTGAAGAAAGAATAGGGTTTAAGCTTTGAGCCTCACTTCTTGTCTGTTTCTCCCATTTCCCATCCAGTCATGACAGATTTGGATCACTAGAGGTTGCTTTGGCCGGGAAAGAAAGCATCCACTTCCACTGAGCTAAAGGGTGTCTGATTTCTAGATAAATGAAATCCTTGCTCTATGGAGCTTTATAATAACAAGCAGATGTCAAAGATAGGGGCATACAGCTCACTTTAAATTTCCCATTTGTAGATTATCTATTCAGAAGATTATCTAGCCATTTTTTAATTCTTTGATTTCTCATTATTAGCATAATCCAGCAGTTTCCCTCTGCCACTCAGGTGGTGTGTGCTTAGAGAATGCAAACTGTCTTTAATACTATCCTAAGCAAAATATGACTAGAAAGGCAGGTCTGTAGTAAAATCTTATTTTGGTTTATTTACACCACGTGATTAATTCAGAGGGGACCATATTTACCTGTTCCTCCCTGTGCCATCCAGGGAACAGTCACTGAGGATAAGAACAATGCCTCTCATGTTGTGTATCCTGTCCCAGGGAACCTAGAAGAAGGTGAGACCTGGTTGTTGTGGCCACTGCAGTGGCTTGATGGCTTGGAGTAGGAGGTGGCGGACAGGTCAGATCACAGGGTCTTGACTCCTCTCTCCTTTCAACCCTGAATCCTCCTACCCTTTGAAGTTCCCATTACTAGGTCCCATGGTGCAACAGGGAGATGCTTAGGGCTTTTGTTGAACTTTGTTTTCTGTGTACCCCTTAAATTTATTCCTGTCTGTCTCGATCCCCAGAGGAATGGGTACGACCTGTCATGAAGAGGGATAAGCAGGTTCTTCTGCATTGGGGCTACTATCCTGACAGGTAAGGATAGGTTGTTCCTGGAGCTTGTGTAAGTACAAGAACTTGACCCAGAAACCCCAGAACATCTAGTTAGCAAGAAGGGGGCTCTTTTAGGATTATTTTTCGGCCAGTTTGTCTTTGTGAATTTGTCTTGGGTAAATTTGGATCTAGTAGACTAGGCAAAGGTTAGAAACAATTTAAATGTCAAACAATAGGAAACATTTTACCAAAGTTGTTTATCAGTGGGATATTATACAGTCTTTAAAATGGTATTTGAGAAATGACATTGATAATTTATAGATTATTAAATGTAAAAAGTAGGCATGTTAAATAACATCTAGTATGATATAATTATGTAAAAAGTTGCTAAAAAAGTATTGGGGGAAAATGCATATTAAATGTTAAGAGTAGTTGTGTGAGTACAACTGAGCTTAAGGTGGATGGAAAAATTGGATAACAGTTAATTAAGACTGATGGTTGAACAAGATGAACACAGTATCACTGAACTGTACATATGAAGACTGTTGAAATGGTCAATGTTTTCTTGTTAGGAGCCGTGGAGTCAATTTTGACTCATAACGATGTTATGCACACCAGAACGAAACGCTGTCCAGTCCTGTGCCTTTCTCACAATTGTTACATTTGAGCCCATTGCTCCTGTCATTGTGCAAATTCATACTCTTGGGGGTCTTTCTCTTTTTCGCTGACCCTCCACTGTACCAAGTGTGATGTCCTTCTTCAGGGACCGGTACTTCCTGATAATATGTCTGAAGTATGGGAGACGAAGTCTCAGCATCCTGGCTTTTAAGGTTTCTGGCTGCACTTCTTCCAACACAGATTTGTTTGTTCTTCTGGCAGTCCATAGTACTATCAATATTCTTCTCCCCAACCCCCATAATTCAAATGCATCAATTCTGCCATTTTTCGTATTCATGTCTACCTTTCACATGTACGTGAGGCAATTGAAAATACCATGACTTAGATCAGGGACACCTTAATCCTCAGAGTGACATCTTTGCTCTTTAACACTTTAAAGAGGTCTTGTGTAGCAGATTTACCTAATGCAATATGTTCTTTGATTTCTTTGCTGCTGCTTGCATGAGTGTTGATTGTGGATTCCTTCAGTCTTTTCTCCATTTATCATAATGTTATTTATTGGTCCATTAGTGAGGATATTTGTTTTTTTTACATTGAGGTGCAACCCATACTGAAGGCTGTGGTCTTTTATCTTCATCAGTAAGTATTTTAAGTCTTCACTTCTAGCAAGCAAGGTTGTATCATCTGCATATCACAGGTTATTAATGAGTCTTCCTCCAATCCTGATACTATGTTCTTCATATAATCCAGCTTTTCAGATTATTTGCTCAGTATACAGGTTGAATAAAATATGGTGAAAAAATACAATCCTGGCGTGTACCTTTCCTGATTTTAAACTGTTCAGTATCCCCTTTTTCTGTTTGAATGACTGTCTCTTGGTTTGTGTACACAGCTACCTTATGAGCACAATTAAGTGTTCTGAAATATCCATACTTTGCAATGTTGTCCATAGTTTGTCATGATCCACACAGTCAAAAGTTTTAGCATAGTCAATTAAACACAAGTAAACATCTTTTTAGTATTCTCTGCTTCCAACCAAGATCTATCTGACGTCAGCAATGATACCCCTTGTTCCACGTCCTCTTCTGAATCTGGCTTGGCTATATGGCAATTCTCTTGTCTGTGTACCGTTGCAGCCATTTTAAAATTATCTTCAGCAAAATTTTATTTGCATGTGATATTAATGATACTGTCTGGTGATTTCCACATTCTTTTGGGTCACCTCTCTTTGGAATGGGCACTAATAATGGTCTGTTCAAATCAGTTCGCCAGGTAGCTGTCTTCCAAATTTCTTGCCATAGATGTGTGAGCATCTCCAGTGCTTCATCAGCTTCTTGAAATATTCCAATTTGTATTCTGTTAATTCCTGGAGCCTTGTGTTTTGCCAGTGCCTTCAGTGTAACTTAGACATCTTACTTCAGTACCATTGGTTCTTGATCAATGATTCAAAAATGCTGCCTTTTGAAATGTTGAACATTGACCATTTCTTTTTGATACAGTGACTCTGTATATATCTTCTGCATCCCTTTGATGCTTTCTGCATCATTCAATATTTTGCACATAAAATCCTTTAATATATTGCAAGTCCAGGCTTGAATTTTTCTTCAGTTCTTTCTGCTTGAGAAATACTGAGTGTGTTCTTCCCTTTTGATTTTCTAATTCCAGGTCTTTGCATATTTCATTATTGTACTTTACTCTGTCTTCTTGACCTTTCCTTTGAAAGGTTCTGTTTAGCTCCTTAACTTCCTAATTTCTTTCATTCGCTCTATCATGTATATGCTGGAAAGCAAATTTCAGAGTCTTTTCTGATATCCATTTAGGTCTTTTCTTTCTGTCCTCTCTTTTCAATAACCTTTCCTTTCTTCCTGTATGCTGTCTTAATGTCATCCCACAGCTCTTCTCATCTTTGGCCATTAGTGTCTAATGCATCAACTCTTTTCTTGAGATGGTCTATAATTTCAGATGGGATATGTTTAAGGTCCTATTTTGGTTCTTGTGGACTTGTCTTAATTTCTTCAGCTTCAGCCTGAACTTACATGTGATCTACGGTAGGGCCCTGACCTTGTTTTAGCTGACGATATTGAACTTGTCCACTGTCTGTTTCCACAGATGTAGCCAATTTGGTTCCTGTGTATTCCACCTGGTAAGGTCCATGTGTGTAGTTGCCTTTTATGATGTTTTAAAAGATATTTGCAATGAATAAGTTTTTGTATTGCAGAGTTGTATTGTGGGATCTCCGGCATCATTTCTATCACCAAGGCCATGTTTTCCAACTACTGATCCTTCCGGAATCTTTGTTTTCAACTTTCTCATTCCATTCACCAGTAATTATCAATATATCTTCATTGCATGTTTGATCAATTTCAGACTGAAGACGTTGGTAGTATTCTTTAGTCACCACTGGCTTTAGTAGTTGGTGCATAAATTTGAATAGTAGTGGTATTAACTGGTCTTCCTTGTAGGCATATGGATATTATCCTATCACAGACAGCGTTGTACTTCATGATGAATCTTGAGTTGTTCTTTTTTGACAATGAGTGTGACATCATTCCTCTTCAATTTGTTGTTCCCAGCGTAGTTAACCATATGATTGTGAGATTCAAAATGGCCAATACCAGTCCATTTCTGCGACTCAACAGCACTTAATCACAACAACAACAAATGCTTAGGATACCGATCGTTTTGTATTCCATTTCATTTTTGACAACTTCCAATTTTCCTAGACTCATGCTTTATACATTCCATGTTCTGATTATTAATGGATGTTTGCAGCTATTTCTCTTCATTTTGAGTTGGGCTCCCATCAGCAAATGAAGGTCCCAAAAGCTTTACTCCATTCATCATGCTCAACACTACTTTGGGGATGCAGTTCTTCCTTCCCCACTTGTATTTTGAGTGCCTTCCAACCCGAAGGGCTTTTTTTCTGGTATTATGTCTGACAGTATTCTGGGGCTGTTCATAATATTTTCATCTTCTGGCAGTGTTGCTGGTCTTATATCTGACAGTGTTCTGCTGCTATTCATAAAGTTTCAGTATTCATAAACATTCAAAAGTAGTCTGCCTCTACTTCTTCCTAGTCTGTCTTAGTCTGGAAGCTCTGCTGAAACCTGTCCACCCTGGGTGATCCTGCTGGGATTTAAAATAGCAGTGGCAGAGCTTCCAGAATCACAGTAGCTTACAGGCCACCACAGTATGACAAACTGACAGATGAGTTGTGGCTCAACTTTTTTTTTGCCTATGTATTTACCATAATAAATTAAGAAAATAAAGAATACTTGTGTTAGTATGATGGGGTAAGAGAAAATTATTTTTGAAATTTTTGTTTTATGTTTTATTATTTTATTATGATATCACTCAGAGGGACAATGGAAAAATCATAACCAAAAAACAACCTAACAGCCCAGTTCTTTTTACAAGTGGAAAAGGTTTTAAAGAGCTGTACTTTACTTTTTCATAAAAGCAGCCTATTGATTCTGCTTCATATTCTCTTTCCCATGGTAGTTATGATACGTGGATCCCAGCTAGTGAAATTGAAGCCTCCGTGGAGGATGCTCCGACTCCTGAGAAACCCAGGAAGGTGAGCTTTTCCTGCACTCCTTCCTAAGAAGGATGCCAGGACTGACCAGTCTTTGAAGGTGAATTGGAGGCGTCTGTGCCCTTGGGCTGTGGCTTCCAGGCTCCTCTCCAGCACTGCCTGCCTCTGTGTGTCAGGTTCATGCAAAGTGGATTCTGGACACAGACACCTTCAATGAGTGGATGAATGAAGAGGACTATGAAGTAAATGATGACAAAAATCCTGTCTCCCGCCGAAAGAAGATTTCAGCCAAGACACTGACAGATGAGGTGAAAATCCCTCTTCTTTCTTCCTCCAGCCCTTAACATAAGTTTTGGGACAAATCTTTGCTGGGGATTGTTGGCTGACATTTGTTCGGATTCTCTGGGCTACAGGTAAATAGCCCAGATTCAGATCGACGGGACAAGAAAGGAGGGAACTATAAGAAGAGGAAGCGCTCTCCCTCTCCCTCACCCACCCCAGAAGCTAAGAAGAAAAATGCTAAGAAAGGGTATGCCTATAACTTGTTTTTGCCTAATACCCAGTCCTGAGGTGGGGGTGTTATGCAGGTGTCTTGAGAGGACTAGTTCTGTCCTTTGTTGTTGTTGTTAAGGGCTGTCGAGTCGGTTTCGACCCATAGCGACTCTGAATAGGGTTTCCGAGGCTGTAAATCTTTACGGGAGCAGATCGCCTCATCTTTCTCCCATGGAGCAGCTGTTAGTTTCGAACTGCTGACCTTCCGGTTCGCAGCCCGATTCGTAACCACTACGCTACCAGAGCTCCTTAGTTCTGTCCCAGTCACTAGTAAAATCAAACAGAGTTTAATCTCCAAATAAAAGTCCTGTTTTTTGTCACGTCCCGTAACTCTATAGCTACTGGTTTCTGTTCATGCTCAGTTCCACCCTTGGGATTCTCTCTCTCTTCCATTACCTTGAACATCAATTCTCAGGGACTCCCTGTCCAACAATGACAGGGTCCTCTTTCACTCTCTCCTTCCCAGCCCCTCAACACCTTACACCAAGTCAAAGCGTGGCCACAGAGAGGAGGAGCAAGAAGATCTGACAAAGGACATGGATGAGCCCTCACCTGTTCCCAATGTGGAAGAGGTGACATTGCCCAAAACAGGTATGGGCCAGGTCAGGCTCCTGGAATCCACCCCCACTCCCTGCCTTGCCCTTGCTGTGTCAGACCTCTCGACTGGGTTGATTACCAAACCCAGCTCCAGATCTAAAGGCTCTTTTTTTAAGATTTAGCTGGTTATTGAAATTATCTTCACTACTATAATTTCATATCCTAATTTCATTTTCACATCTGAATTATGGAGTCCTGGTGTTGCACTGTGGGTGCAAGGTAGGTTTGAACCTTAAGGTCAACCGTTTCAAGTTCACCAGCTGCTTCTCAGAAACCCAATACAGGGTTGCTATGGGTCGGGACCAACTCGATAGCGCTTAACAATCTGAATTATAGACTGTGCTTTATACTTCACAATAGTTGTCTCTAAACTTGTGTTGATTATGCACTCTGCAAAAATGGCATGGAGACCACATCAGACCTCTGACTGTACAAAGGGGAAGGAGAATCAAATTCAACATTGTTGTTAGGTACTGTGGAGTCGGCTCCGACTCATAGTGACCCTGCACAGGGTTTCCGAGGCTGTAAATCTTTACGAGCAGAATGCCTCATCTTTCTCCCACGGAACCGCTGGTAGTTTTAAACTGCTGACTTTGCGGTTTGCAGCCTGATTCATAACCACTATGCTACCAGAGCTCTTGGAATTAGCCCAAGGCAAATTCTTAGGAGGCTCAGGTCAGACATGTCTCTCTACCTCCAGCCTTTTTTTTTTTTTTAATCAATTCTGACGCCAACTGTCCCTCCACAGCATTCTCTACTTCTCTGCTGGGTTCCCTAACTCATTGCAGAGGCCACACTTAGCCATAGAGCCCCTCGGTCTTTGCTCTGCATGGCCAATTCATTAAAGCTCTTTTAGCACGGAAGAAAGATGAGGTTTTCTGCTTCCATGAAGATTCACAGCTTCAGAATCCCTGTACAGGGTCTCTATGAGTCGGAACCGACTTCACGGCACATAACAACAACAACAACATAGTAGTCCTGGAGTCCTGGTGTGGCACTGTGGCCTCATGCACGGTACTACAAGGTCAGTCTGGACCACAAGTTCAGTGGTTCAAGCTCACCAGCTGCCTCCATGGAAACCCTATACAGGCTCACAGTGAGTCGGAACCAACTGGACAGCACTTAACAGCAACATGGGAGTCCTGGTGTGGTGCTGTGGGCTAATGCTCTGGGCTGCAGGGTCTTTTTGAACCGCAAGGTTGGTGGTTCAAGCTCACCAGCCGCTCTTCGGAAACCCTATACAGGATTTGCCACGGGTCAGAACCAACTCGATGGCACTTAACAACAACATAACTGACCAAAAGGCACTCCGGTCTGTTGACCAAAGGTGCTCAGCTCCAGCACAGCGGGTTGGCAAACCTAGCTCCCCTAATTATATGTATGGAGGCAACCCACTCTGCCAGCAAGCCAGCTTTCTTAGTCTGTGGGTAGGGAAGCAGTTTCTTTGCTCATGGTCTGGTATTGGAACTTTCTGTCCCTTGGATTGAGGAGGTTCAGACCCAGGGATCTTACCAGTGGATGTACTTCATTCCTGGCGCTTCTTTCTTAATAGTGAGATCCCCTCTTCTGCTTTTGAAATGGCTCATTTTAAACCTAGTGGAATGACAAAACTGACCAATCTACATGTCAGAGTTCCATTTATCCTGCTTGCAAGGTCCCCACCCCTCATGCGTGCCACGTACCGTATTGATATTGTTTGACAGCTATCCGATCTCCACAGTGAGTCCCAGATACTTATCATTTGCATAGTCCTACTAGTCGTTTGGTAAGAATTACAAGGACTGTGACTAGAAGGGCTATATCAAGTAATTCTCTGCACCATACACCCCCATCAGTAAAATAGATTTGAGCACAAATTACATACATATAGTATTTTACCAGATGTCTAGGTTGTGTAAGTAGTTTGCGCTCCACTACTAAACTAAAGGTTGGTGTTTCAAACCCACCCAGTGGCACTTTGGAAGAAAGGCTTGATGATCTGCATCTGTAAAAATTCCAGCCAAGAAAATTCTTTGGAGCAGATCTATTCTATAACACCTGAGGATGTCATGAGTTGGAATTGACTTGATGACAATGGGTTTTTGGTAATACTGTATCACTCTACTAGGAATGGAGTCCTGGTGTGGCATTGTTAGTTAATGTGCTGGACTGCAAAGTTAACGTTGACCTGCAAGGCCAGCGGTTCAAGCTCATCAGCTGCTCCTCGGAAACCTTGTTATAGGGTCGCTGTGGGTTGGAACTGACTCTGTGACAACCACAACACTAGGAACAGTATAACCATTTGCAAACATTTAAAGGACTAGGTTAAACACCTTGTATGAAGAACAGTTCTGATATTCCCTTCCTTTGTTCCAGTAGATGATCTTTTGTATCCTATGTGAGCAGCCCACTTTGGAGACCATTGCTCTTCAACTCTGGTTTACAATCTGTATTCCATAGACTTAACTCGGAGTGTCCCAGGATTGGGCCTGAGGGGTGGGTAGTACTGAGAGGGAGAAATTCTGGTTTTCACCCTTCCTCATCAGTCAGAGCAGCCCTGATTTCCATGTGTTCTCCTGAGTTTTCATGCATGAATTTATCTGAGGAAAGTGTTCTTCTGCTTTTAAAAATGTTGAAGCTCTAACTGCTTCTCCACAGAGTCGAGCCAGTCCCAGTCCATTAAGAGCTTATAGACACATAGATTGAGATACAGGCCTATTAAAGACAGGATCATGCATGACTGTACAGAGAAAAGATAGATGCTTGTTTATAGGGGAAATGTTTAAACAAATTTTCAGTTGGAGAAGGGAGTTTCAAGTGAGTTTTAGGCCCTGCAGTGAATATGACAGGAAGAAGTTATATATATTTTTTAATAGTTTATAAAGATTTTGGAGGAAGTACATTCTCTAGAGTTGGTAGCAGTGAAAAAGTGAGGGCTTAATTTAGGTGGAATTCATCTCATAAAGTGACTCTCTCCTGGCAGTCAACACTAAGAAGGACTCGGAGGCAGCCCCAGTCAAAGGAGGCACCATGACAGACCTGGGTAAGATGGAAAGTCTCTGGGGCGGGGCAGTCAGAGCCTCGAGCTAGGGAGGGCTCAGTTGCCTCCTTTTTCAGTATCTGATGGGACTTTAATAGGATTCTCCCTCTCCAGCCTCACATCTTTTTCTTTCAGATGAACAGGAGGATGAAAGCATGGAGACTACAGGCAAGGTGAATCAGTTTAGAGAAGTCCTATCTAAATTATTCTGATTTGTGATTATAAAGTTCCTCTTGCCCAGAATCTTCCACTGCTCGGACTTTTTCCACCCTAGACTAATTCTACTTGTCAAAAACTCTGACTCTTTCAGAGCCAGGCAATTCATAACTGTGCATTCCCTTCTCCTAGCTTCAGGGTCCAAATTCCTGGGGTGTGGGAGAAGCAGAGGGTGGCTTGGGGGAAAATAGGAATGCTGAGTGGCCAGCAGCCTCCATACTTGTAGGATGAGGATGAAAACAGTACTGGGAACAAAGGGGAGCAAACCAAGAATCCAGACCTGCATGAGGACAACGTGACTGAACAGACCCACCACATCATCATCCCGAGCTACGCTGCCTGGTTTGACTACAATAGGTATTGATGTTCCTCCTTCTCACTGATTCTTACTTCCCCAGCCTCCAAAGTCAGCATGTTTCTTCCCCTGCCTCCCAATAAGCTATTTCTTCTTCAGTCATAGACCATGGTGCACTTCGTTTTAGATGAGCTCCTCATCTCTTTTTGTGTCTGACACTTTGGGTGGGAAATTCTCCCCAAGTATCTAGTCCTTGGAGTCTCCAGCTGGTTGTCCCCTCCACCTTCCAGGCTTTTCCTCCCTTTGGGGCTCCCCTTCCTCCACCAGTGCCTTCTACTGAATCCATTCTGGCTTCTTTTTTACAGTGTTCATGCCATTGAGCGGAGGGCTCTCCCTGAGTTCTTTAACGGCAAGAACAAATCCAAGACTCCAGAAATGTAAGGAAATCTCAGGTCATGATTATTTCTCTTCCTCCTGTACCAGTCACTCGTACTGATCCAGCAACATTCAGTTCAGCAAGCATTTCTTGAGTTCCTTCATAAAGGCAGATGCTATGCTAAGCTTACAAAGATGAGATCTGTGCCTTAGGCAGCCTCAGACCAGTACTTTGACCAAAATACCTTGTCTTTAAGAATTTGCCCACAGGCTCTTCTGTGTAAAACAAGTACCTGTTCCATTGCTTCAGAGCCTTTCAACCTATAAATATCTAAAATGCAGATATTTTTAGCACAGGTAATTACTCTCAGTAAAGTGTAAATGACTATTACCAGTTTGCTCCCTGAGAGTATGTTTTGAATGAAAAATAAGTGGAGGAACTATGGAAATACTAGGTCCCCAAATGATGGATAAGAGCTCTCTGGAGTCCTGATGTGGCACTGTGGGCTAATATGCTGGACTGCAAAGTTGATGGTTCAAGCTCACCAGCTGCTCCTGGGAAACCCTATACAGAGTCACTATGGGTCGGAACCGACTCAATGGCACTTAGCAACAACAATAAGGGCTTTCTGGTAGAGGAATATTAAAGGATATGTAAGCTTGGGGCTCAGAAGTCTTTGTCTCCTTCAATATTTTGTTTTAGGCCAAACTTGCTGAGCTTTACATAAGATTTGGCTATCTTGTATGGTTAGGGAAGCCAAAATGATGAGGCGGTAGTAGAGACCTATGCTAAGTTAAGGCTCCTGGGAACAGAACTGACTTTCTTCCCAGCTGTTACACAGTCTCCTCTCTCCTACCACGTTTCTTTCCCTGGAGATTGGTATGGTTTTCTCCTCCTTTTTTTTTCTGGGGAAAGAAGTGTGAAGAAGCCTTCTTCTCAGAAGAAAAGGATGTAATGACTAGGTGGCATGGTTACACAGGCAGGGATGGAACACAAACTGGTCTACACTTGAACTTGGTATAAATTAGTACATGCTAATTGCCTACATTTATTGAGAGTTTACTGTTTACCAGACATTATCCTAAGTGCCCTACCTATATTGACTAATCCTTACATGAATCTTAGACATGAGTACTGTTAGCATCACCAGTTTACTGATTAGGAGACTGAGGCCTAAATGGGTAAGTCATTTGCTTAAGGTCATACAACTAGTAAGTAGTTAAACAGGCAGCATCTGGACCCCTGTAATCTGACTCATGATCTTCAACTTTACACCAGACAACATAATAGCTGCCATCTTTTAGAGGGCTTACAATGTGCCAGGCATTGTACTAGTACTTTACAGATTTTTCTAGTCCTCAGCAGATACTCCATCTTACAGATGAAAATACTGAGAGCCAAACATTTAAGTAACTGCCAAGGCCATCATGCTATAACTGGGATTCGAACTTAGATATTTCCGCTTTAAAGCTTATTCTTTCCATCATGTCATTCTGACCAGTTGGGTGCTTGAATAAGAGTTTCACCTTTAACATCTGAGTTTGGACATAAAGAGCACATTTTCTTTCTTACCCTTTGATTCCTTGTTCAGAAGCTAGCTGAAATGTCCCCAAGTACAATTAAGGAGAGAATTCATTTCATTAAAACACTCCATCAAGGAAAATGTAAGCCATACTTGAATCCCTTGTAACTAACACAGAGTAGGCACTCACTGTTTATTTAGTTTATTTTGATTATGATCTACTTTTTTCTCTGTGTCAGCACAGGAACTTTAGTAACTCTTTCATCATCCTTCTTACTCATTAGCCTTTGACGTTTACTTTTATTTCTCTTGTTTTCCATTTCTATTTTTCTTTCTTCTAAGCTACCTGGCCTATCGAAATTTCATGATTGACACTTACCGGCTGAACCCCCAAGAGTATCTCACCTCCACTGCGTGCCGCAGGAACCTGGCGGGTGATGTCTGTGCCATCATGAGGTGGGTCTTGTGGTTGAGGCCAAGGTGTACGTGAGGATATCTGCCCACACATGTCTTTTGGCAGAAATAGAAACTTAGGGAATGAGCAGGGAAAATAACCCTAGAGAAAGGCAAATGACAGGTGTGGGTATGAGTGGCTTGAGGGAATAGCAATGGCATTTTCTGAATTGTGGACTAAAGGAGAAAGAAAGAGCAGATCTATAGCAGAAAGAAGGTTTTGAGATGGTATAAATCATTTGTGCTCGACTATTAACCAAAACGTTAGCGATTTGAATCTCCCCGTTGTGCTGCATAAGATAGTATGGTGATCTGCTTCCATAAAATTACAGCCATTGAAAAACCTATGGAGCTCAGTTTTTACTCTAAAACACTTGGGGTTGTTGTGGGTCAGAATCAACTTGACGGCAATAGGTATAGTTGAATGCTACTGACTGGTGCAGTTTGGGATCCGGGCTGGAGATGTAATGTCACTGCAATTAGGAGGTGGGTGAACAGTAGGAGTCGATGGGCTTTCCAAAGAAGTAGAATGAGTAGAGAAGAAGCTCAAGGACCTTAGGGGAAGCTTTATGCTCCCACCTCTGCCCCACTTGCTTCTCCTCACATACCTTTCTTGCTACTTTGTGTGACCCTGTCTCTGTTTCTCTCCTCATAGGGTTCATGCCTTCCTAGAACAGTGGGGTCTTATTAACTACCAGGTGGATGCTGAAAGCCGACCAACTCCAATGGGGCCTCCGCCCACCTCTCACTTCCATGTCTTGGCAGACACACCATCAGGGCTGGTACCTCTGCAGCCCAAGACCCCACAGGTAGGGTGAGGGGCCACGGGGACAGGGTGGGATTGGTATACAATTGGGCTTCTTTGGACTTTTCTTTTTTCTGGATTTTTAGGGAAATGATTCAGAAGTGTTTTAAGGTTTCTTCCTTTTCCTTGGGATGCAAAGGGTAACAGGAGTCAGCCCTGTGTGTTTAGCGCCCTCTCTTAGGCTATAGCTAAGACTTGCTGAGAGAGAAGGGATGTTCCTTGTCCTCAAGGAGCAGACAGGCTAATAATATAGGAACAGAGAGAAAAATGACTTAAAATGAACTTGCATGAAATTTTAACTTTGTTCTACATTTTTCATTATTACCTCATAATTATTATCACCTCCATTTTTTTTTTTTTTTTACTTCCATTTCATACATTTTAGAAATTAAGAGGAGAAAGGTTATGTAGCTGCCCAAGTCACAGAGAACCAAATCTAGGATTAGAACCTAGTGGTCCAGCTCCTAAGAGAACCTATAAAGATGTGTGTGAATTCAAATGGATCATGCCAACTACTCATCTTATTAATTATTAAGGAGACATGGAACAGTGGCATGAGTGCCCCCAGAGCTTGCGGGTCACCCAACATTTGGTGTTGGCCTGGTCATTTCCTGCCCAGCCTCCATGACGCCAAGCTCTGTCCCTCAGGGCCGCCAGGTTGATGCTGATACCAAGGCTGGGAGAAAGGGCAAAGAGCTGGATGACCTGGTGCCAGAGACGGCTAAGGGCAAGCCAGAGCTGGTAGGTGGGGTGTAGACCCTGCTGGGCTTCTTATTTGCCCCTTTATTGGGGGGCCCCTGCCCGGGAAGAAGAGACATGAGAGCAGAGGAGCTACAGCAGTAAGGGAGGAACTGTCTCACCCACGGGTGTCCTTGACTTTGGGAAGGAAGCTCCTTCTGTCTGTTTTCTCTTTCTGTCTGCCTCTGGCTCCCCACCATCACTCATACTCACCTCTTTCTTTCCCTTCCATAAATAGCAGACCTCTGCTTCCCAACAAATGCTCAACTTTCCTGACAAAGGCAAAGAGAAACCAACAGACATGCAGAACTTTGGGCTGCGCACTGATATGTACACCAAGAAGAATGTTCCCTCTAAGGTATGGAGATGTGGGCTGCCTTCAGAAGCCCGGGAGGCTGTGCACCTTAGAGGTCATCAGCTCCTCACACCTGTTTTTCCTGTAGAGCAAAGCTGCAGCTAGCGCTACTCGCGAGTGGACAGAACAGGAAACCCTGCTACTCTTGGAGGTAATTGGGGCAATGAAAGGATAGTTCTATGAAAACAGAAATGAGTGGGGAGAATATGTGGAGTATGCCACAGGGAGTAGCTACAGATCTGGGACTTGGGCCATTAACTCCATAGCCTTTCTCTTGCTACTTGGGAGATTCCCCTTGAGCTCAGCAGGGTACACAAACACCAAAACCCTGAGAGCTTTGAGGTCAGCTGTTCTAGTGGAGTGGGGGGAGTTGACTGAGCAAAGTTCACAAGGAAGGTGACTAAGTATGCAGAGTTGTGTCTCTTCCACTCTCATCAGGCACTGGAAATGTACAAAGATGACTGGAACAAAGTGTCAGAGCATGTGGGAAGCCGCACCCAGGACGAGTGCATCTTGCATTTCCTTCGTCTTCCCATTGAAGATCCGTACCTGGAGGACTCAGAGGCCTCCCTGGGCCCCCTGGCATACCAGCCTATCCCCTTCAGTCAGTCAGGCAACCCTGTCATGAGCACTGTGGCCTTCCTAGCTTCTGTTGTCGATCCCCGAGTCGCCTCTGCTGCTGCAAAGTCAGCCCTAGGTAATGTGGAGGGGTCCTGGCTTTCTTGGTTTGTGCTTGAAGGGCTGGTTATTCAGACCTTGAAGTCCCCTCAAGTTTGGCTGTCGCACTGGCCTTGTCTATTGCTGGCCTCAGCTCAGGCACCTGTCCAGCTCCATGCTGGTCTTAGCTGAAGAGATGGGCTTGAGAAACTTTCTCCGGGGGAGCCAGAACTGCCTACTTGCCCTGCTCCCAGCACATCCCTCCTGGGTCTTGCAGAGGAGTTCTCCAAGATGAAGGAAGAGGTGCCCACTGCCCTGGTGGAAGCCCATGTTCGCAAAGTGGAAGAAGCAGCCAAAGTGACAGGCAAGGCAGACCCAGCCTTCGGTCTGGAAAGCAGTGGCATTGCAGGAACCACCTCAGATGAGCCTGAGCGGATTGGTAAGGCCGGGCAAACGCCCAGAATTTCTCCCTTTCACCAAAATCCAGAGCCATCCCTGTGCCATACCTGCCTCAAGCTGGCATCAGAACACAACACAAATGGGGAGCATTGGTAATGCTTTTTACTTTCTACAGGATTAGGAACTATGGCTCCTTACTGGTCCTCTCACGAGGGTTTTGACTGGTAGAGGGGACTCTTGGGTACATGCCATAGACACAGGCTCTGAATCAGACATTTTCCATTTCTTTTTCCCATGGGCCCAGAGGAGAGCGGGACTGAAGAAGCACGGGTGGAGGGCCAGGCTACAGATGAGAAGAAGGAGCCCAAGGTATAGAGGGATTGACCTTGAACTGGGAGGGTGGAGGGGCCCGGTGTGTGCTGCGGTGATAGGGGAGCTAGCATAATTCTGCTCAGGCAGGGAAATGTGGGGCTTACATGGGCTCTGTCTCTTGGAGCTTTTCTCTACGTCATCTCAAGGAAGAGGAGTAGTTTGCTTCCCAGTCTGAGCCTTGGCATGATAGTCTCTTTTTCACTGGGACTTTAGGAGGCCCGAGAAGGAGGAGTGGCTACAGAGGAAGATACAAAGGACAAAACCAGCGAGGCTCCCAAGAAGGATGAAGAAAAAGGGAAAGAAGGAGATAGTGAGAAGGAGTCAGAGAAGAGTGATGGGGACCCAGTAGGTGAGCCTCAGGGTGGGCGGTTGGGATACAAGAAGAATTGAAGCTGCACGGCTAACTCATCCCTTTCCTGGCTAGTGGATCCCGACAAGGAGAAGGAGCCAAAGGAAGGGCAGGAAGAAGTACTTAAGGAAGTGGTTGAGTCGGAAGGTGACAGGAAGACAAAGGTGGAGCGGGACATTGGTGAGGGCAACCTGTCTACTGCAGCGGCTGCTGCCCTGGCTGCTGCTGCCGTCAAGGCCAAGGTAAGGGCCATGGCCTGAAGACCCAAGGGAAGTAGAGGCTCCTTTCTTAAATGCTAACTCGGGTTCTTCTCCCTTTCCTAGAGAAAGACTTGGTCACCAGTTCTCCAAGCTTTTGTGATCTTTTACCATTGGACTTATTTTCTAGCCTTCTAGTTTTATTTGAAGGAGTCCTGATGTTAAATTGGGTTAAGTGTTGGGCTGCTAACCATAAGACAGTTCATAAGGTTGGCAGTTCAAATGCACCAGCTGCTCTGTGGGAGAAAGATATGGCAGTCAGTTTTCTGTAAAGATTTACAGCCTTGGATAATCTACTCTGCCTTCTAGGGCTGAGTCCAAATGGATGTTTCACGGCAGTGGTTTGGCTTTTAGTTATAGATTTGACATTGTCTTATACTTTGCCACTTTCTCTCTTCATGTTGATGTGTATGTAGTTATGTGGAGTGTGGTGGCTCCATATGGTAAGCACTGCATTGCGAACAGCAAGGTTCATGATTCAAACCCACTGGCTGTTGCCATGGTAGAAAGATGAGGCTTTCTGCTCCCACTAAGATTTAAAAGCCTCAGAAATCCTGTATAGGTCCTGGTGTGGTGCTACAAGATAATGCACTAGACTACAAGGTTAGTTTGAACCACGAGGTTGGCAGTTCAAACCCACCAGCCACTCCTTGGAAACCCTACACAGAGTCATTATGAGTCAGAACCGACTCAACGGCACTTAACAATATATATGTATGTATGTGTGTGCATATATACAATATATATGTATGTATGTGTGTGTGTGTATATATATACATACAGATATACACACACACGTGACATATGTATTTTTATTAAGGATGTACATAGCAGAACTTGACCTATTTCTTCATGTACAAATCAGTTAACATTGATTACATTCTTTAAGCTTGTACAACTCTCTAGGTTGTGACCACAGCAGATTTCTTTCTTAAAACCTGCCAGACTCTACCCTCCCTTTCTATCCCAGGGCATGTCTTCAGCTGAGCCCTCCTGCTGACGGGCCAACCCTCTCTTCCTTCCTTAGCACTTGGCTGCCGTGGAGGAGAGAAAGATCAAATCGCTGGTGGCCCTGCTTGTGGAGACCCAGATGAAAAAGTTGGAGATCAAACTCCGGCACTTTGAGGAGCTAGAGACGATCATGGACCGGGAGCGGGAAGCAGTGAGTATATAAATCCTGAGAGATCACAGAAGAAAGGCCAAAGCTTAGAGGCTAGTGAATTGATTAGGGCTGGCTTCCTGAAAAAGGCGAGTGCTTAGCCCATTTTGAAGGAAGAAAGGAAAATGAATTGACAAGAGGAACTGAAAGGGTTTTCCAAGTTAAGGTAACAGCAAATTCAAAGCTTCGGGGCTGAAATGAGCAAGGGCTAACTATCTACCAGCTTAACTCCATTGCCATCATCAGGAGAAATTAAGGTCAGATGGGGGCACTTCATGAGCGTCAGGGGCTGGGGTGGAAGACAGAGGAGACCAAGCATAAGGTTTAGATTTACTATGGAACCAGCAGAGTAAGAGACTGGGGGTGCCAGAAGACAAAGTAGGGACAAGGTTTGTGCCATTGCATCTTATGAACACCGGTAACAGTGCTCATTTTACACTGGCAGCTGGAGTATCAGAGGCAGCAGCTCCTGGCCGACAGACAGGCCTTCCACATGGAGCAACTGAAGTATGCAGAGATGAGAGCTCGACAGCAGCACTTCCAGCAAATGCATCAGCAGCAGCAGCAGCCACCTCCAACCCTGCCCCCAGGCTCCCAACCTATTGCACCCACAGGGGCCGCTGGGCCACCCTCCGTCCATGGCTTGGCTGTGGCTCCGGCCTCTGTGGCCCCTGCTCCTGCTGGCAGTGGGGCCCCTCCTGGAAGCTTGGGCCCCTCTGAACAGATTGGGCAGGCAGGGCCAACTGCAGGGCCACAGCAGCAGCAACCAGCTGGAGCCCCCCAGCCTGGGGCAGTCCCACCAGGGGTACCCCCCCCTGGACCCCATGGTAAGTGGGTGGGTTTGGGAACTCTTGCTAGCTAGAATCAAGCTAAATGCTTCTCTAGAACGGGGTACGTTATAAGAACTGGGGATAAGGATCCAGCTCAGTCTTTCCTGCTGGACTTCCTTCTGTTATGTCGCTAACCAACAGGGATCCCACCCTACACCCAGACTTTTGGGGTTTTGTTCTAAGATTTACTTAATTCTAATGTTAGAAAAATGGAAAGTGGCACCAGGAAGTGGCTAGATTATCCTTGTTATGAAAGTTAGTTGGTAAACTAGATTTTATGCCTCTAACCTCTCGGCATCCTGGTGTGGCACAGTGTGATATGTGCAGGACTGCAAGTTTGGTTTGAACCACAAGGTTGGTGGCTCAAGCTCACCAGCTGCTCCTAGGAAACCCTATACTGGGTTACTATGAGTCAGTACAGACTGACAGCGTTAAACAACCACCACCACCTCTCTATCCTCTTCCTTCTCAGGCCCCTCGCCGTTCCCCAACCAACAAACTCCTCCCTCAATGATGCCAGGGGCAGTGCCAGGCAGCGCGCACCCAGGCGTGGCGGGTAATGCTCCTTTGGGTTTGCCTTTTGGCATGCCGCCTCCTCCTCCTCCTCCTGCTCCATCCATCATCCCATTTGGTAGTCTAGCTGACTCCATCAGTATTAACCTTCCCCCTCCTCCTAACCTGCATGGGCATCACCACCATCTCCCGTTTGGCCCGGGCACTCTCCCCCCACCTAACCTGCCTGTGTCCATGGCGAACCCTCTACATCCTAACCTGCCGGCGACCACCACCATGCCATCCTCCTTGCCTCTCGGGCCGGGGCTCGGATCCGCCGCAGCCCAGAGCCCTGCCATTGTGGCAGCTGTTCAGGGCAACCTCCTGCCCAGTGCCAGCCCACTGCCAGGTGAGAAGGGTCCAGGAGGGGAGAAGGGTAAGGGAGAGGGTTCCACAAAGAGAGATAGGGGGTAGGTAGGTAGGGAAGAGGACAGGTACTGGAGCTTCCACAATCCTTCGGGAGCTCTGATCAAATTAGAATACAGGAGGAAGGGCCTCTCTAGCTATCCTCCACTAGCCCCCAACCTGGCTGCTACCACCTCTAGGATGACGTTGGGTCCTGTCACTGGTGGGTCATGGAGGAGTCCTCTGGCACAGAGCATCTCAGTTGTAAACTTGAAAAGAAGCTACTTGTTTGCATGATGATTGGCATCTCCTTTGCTTGTTTCCCTCACATTCAAATACCTCCTTTAGCAGATTCAGCCATAAATGCCACCTGCAATCCACCTGGGTGTACGCTGTGCCTTTTTAGAGCTTTTCCTTAAGAGGCAGAAGGGTGACTGGGGTACATGGTTTTTTCCCAGTGTGAGGTGAAAGAGGATATGGGGAAGATGAAATTACACCCTGGGTACCTCACTCACCTAGCCACTCATTGCATGCCATGCCCAGGTCTGTGTTGTCTATGGTGGCCTAGATCCCTAGCCCCTGCTCACCATAGCTGATTCATCTTCCTTTTTTCCACAGACCCAGGCACCCCGCTGCCTCCAGATCCCACAGTCCCGAGCCCAGGCACAGTCACCCCTGTGCCACCTCCACAGTGAGGAGCCAGCCAGACATCTTTCCCACTTCCCCCATGGAGATTAAGGTTCCAGCAACAGCCCTGCCCCCACTACTGGGACCCCTCCCCAGCCTGGAGAGTTCATCACTACGTAAGGAAAAAGCGCCTCCTGCCCCTCCAAAGCCCCCACCATGCTGTTTGTGCCTCACAGGCATGTTTTTATATCAGATTATTCAAGGACTTCTGTTGAAAAGCTGTTTGTAAATGTCTGGGAGAGAGAACAGGATGGGAATGAGGCCCTTGAAGGGCTAGGGGAAGGTATTTATACACAGTAATTAACCACACCTAAGGGTACACTCCCCCCCCAAAAAAAAACCTACATTTTTTTATGGGTGAAAAAAAAATTAAGACCACTGAAAGGAAGTAAGATTTTTTTAAAAATACAATTGGAGCCTCTTACACCCACCAGAATTTTCCATTGTTTTGAGGGGTGTGACCATTTTTGGAAAGGGGAGTTAGGTCAGAGGAAAAGTTCTGGGGATAGAGTAGGGTGCAGAATCTGCCCCCAAGTCCCTTCTTAGTGACATCAATTTTCACTCCCTTCACCCACCTCCAGTGCTAATTTCTGCTGTTTCCCAAGTGTTGCAGTTTTAGCCCCCCTTCCCCAACTCAGCCATCGATCTGGTCTTTTTCCCTCTGAATGTCAGTTTGTATGTTTTTTAAGTCATCTGCTTAGTTGATGTCAGCGTCTGTGTATTGGTGGGAGAATGTATTTGGGGATTCCTGTGGTAGGTTACAGAAGAAAGAGCACTCGCTCTTCTTTCCTCCCTCCCCTGTGCTGTGTTAGTACTCCCTGGGACACTTGTAGAGGGGAGTTCTGAGCCAATGACAAGGTTTTAAAATTCTGACATTTTCAAAAAGCACTTAAGTATCTTCTTATGACTCAACGGGCCCCTCTCCCCTAAGACCATCAGAACCTTGACTGGTAGCTAGGAAGCTAGGAGTTCCCTATATGAAGATGGATTTTGGAGCAGCTGGGGAGTGGGATGCCCAGTCATATCCTGGGTTTGTGGCACAACTCTCCCTCCAGATTCTAATGCCCCTCAGTCCCAGCTCTCCCCTTCTTCACCCTTGATGTGAAGGCAGATGTGATTCCAGACTCAACACCCCAATTTTTCTTGATCCCACCCAGAGATCCCTTGTTCTCATGTCCCAGTGTTTCTCTTCCTTCTGTTCAAAGTTTTCTGTAAATTTTTTTTATATAAATTAATTTGCTTTCAGTTCCATCTTGTGGATGCCTTCTCTGTTGTTACCCGTGGCTCTCTAGCAAGAGGGCTAAGCTGGAGGCGTTCATCTGAGCAGAGGGGATTCAGCAAGCCAGCGAGCCTACAGACAACCAGGCCTCTGACACGCAAGACAAAAGGGGCACAGCTGTGAGTGCTGTGCATTGGTGCAGGAGCTGGGCAGAGGCTCTCACCTGCCCTAAAAATAGTAGTTCAGACCTGGGAGGACATCCCCTCGACATGGAAATTCTGTCTTTATCCTTTCAGAAGCCATGGCTTCATTCCTTCCCTTATTAGGAGGGACAGAGGCAGGCATCTCACCTACTTGTTATTGGCCCCCAGCCCTCTTGTGGTGACAGACAGGCTCAGGCAGTGCTAATATGGCCTGGCTTTCACTCCAGTAAACTTCCCACAAAAGGCCATCAGTGTTTGGAGGGTGGGGACTAGTTTTATGACAGTGGAGTACTAGATGACCTGATACAGGATATGAACAAGGAAGGCCAGCCTTGGTCCTACAGGGATTTAGACTACAGTGCTCTTGATCCACTAAGGTAGCCTTAGTGGCAGGGATGAATGGGGTTAGCTTTTCTTTAAAGTGGTCAAGATGGCACTTACAAGCCCATTCCCAACTTTCCCTACCTAACCTCCTGATCCATGACCCTGGACTCTGATCCAAGGCAGAAATCATTGCCATCTCACATTCTTCCCCCTCACCTGCTCAGGAAGTCAGGAAGGAAGCAGGACCAAATTTGAGCACAAACAGCAAGTTTATTTGGTGAATGCTGCTTGCAAGCATTATCCAAGCGAGAGAATCTGGGAAAGGTGCTGTGACAGCCAAGGAGGCCTTCAGGGCTAGATAACAGTCTCACACAGGAAAGGCACAGGACTCTGGGGACACAGGAAAGGCTGCCCTCAGCCATTCAGCACCATCCGGACAAGCTCTGTGGAAAGGAGAGGTGGGATAAGCCAGGAGACAGAGCTGAGGAGGGGTACACTAGGAGTCAGGAGACTGTTAAGACTACAAAGGTAGCTGAAGAGGCAACATGCCTACAACAACCAACACGGGGGCCAGTTTGCAGAGAAGCCACCTTGAGTCTGACCAGTTCTCTCTACCCCTAGTTCCCCTCCCACCAGCTGTTAGTCCCCAACCCTGAGAAGCAAGAACACAGCAGAGGCAGAAGAATTCTCAGCTATACCTACAGCTACTGTCAGCCACTGGCGGGAAGAGAGGACAGAATTTTGGGTTAGGGTACCTCCAAGTTGCCCAGCAAATGGAAGGAGAAAGGACTATTATTCAGCTATAGCAGTAGAATGGGCAGGCAACCCACCCCTCTATGCCAACCACCCAGGCTCTGGGGCCAAAGGGTCACTTCAAAAGCAAGACTGGTATAGACTGGTGAGAGTTCCCAGACACCAGCACCCAGGGTCCTCAAAGCAAAACCTCAGAGTCCAGAGTAGCTGTCCCATTCTAGGAGAGAAGGAAGGAGGTACCATACCCCCAGGCCGTCTTCCTCAGGAGGAAGCCCTCCCCTCCCCAGTCAGCTCCATGCAAAAACATGCCAGGAGGAAGTCAGAGGTGGTAGTAGAGTAAGGGCAGGGGCTAGAGAGCAAAGGATGGGAAGAAAAACACTGGGAAGGTCAACTAGGAGAGGCTGGGAGGAGCCGTACCCGCCCCATGGGCCCGTCACCCCGACAGGATATGCCTCACAAATGCTGCAGGAAGGAAGAGACATCAATGGTGAAGACAAGACACAGACATGGGGTGAAGGGGTCAGGTGGTAAGGGAACAGACATTCCACATATTTTATTTCCCATTCCTTCCCCACCCTCCATACCACATTACTCCCTCCTTTCCTATCATACCCCCTAACCTCCCACTCCTGGGTTCGACCCTGGCCCTTGTTTCCTGGCTCCTTTTGGAGTCTAAACTCAGAGACAGGAAAAGCTTTAAATGCTTGTCTTTGCCTTGTCCCATACAGCTGCTTTCTCCACAAGAGCCCCAGCTGGCCCCTCACCTTCGTAGTTGATACAACCATTGCTGTCCTCATGCCCAGCCACCAGCATCTCTACTTCTTCCTCTGTCATCTTCTCACCTGAAAAGAGATGATTTTTTTTGGAATTTGGTGACAGGTGTATCAAGATGGCACCCCAGCTGAAGTAGCAAAGGCATAGAATCTTACCCAGTGTGACAAGGACATGTCGGATTTCAGCACCCATGACAGTGCCGTTCCCTTCCTTGTCAAACACCCGAAGTCCTTCAACATAATCCTCATAGGTGCCCTGGTCCTTGTTCTTGGCCACAGTCTGCAGCATGGGCAGGAAATGCTCAAAATCCAGCACCTTCACATTCATCTCTGCCATAAAGGGGAAAGGGGAAGCATATGTCAGACCAGGTAAGTCACATGAGTTCTCAAGACTAAGGGAATCAGAGGGATCACAACTGAATAGACAATTCCCAGTCAAAGTGGGGGAAAACCAGGAGATCTGCTAGTCGAGACCAGACTTGCTTGAGTTTGGGGGACACAAAGATAAAGGGAAGCTCTTAGCTGAAGGACTGTGGACCCACTACCATCCCTGAGGAGCTTTCTTGAGGCGCCTCACTCACCATCACTCTTGGGATTTCCCAGGACCTTGAGCACCTCGGCGTTGGTGGGGTTCTGGCCTAGGGCCCTCATCACGTCCCCACACTGACTGTACAGGATCTTGCCATCACCTGTTCTGTCAAACAGCTGGAAGGCCTCCTTAAACTCTGAGGATTCAGATGACGGTCAGCAATGGAGATGAAAGAGCTAACCCAACACTACCTCCCAGTCACACTGCAGCAATTCAACTTTGACCATCCTGAGGAAACCATGTATCTGTAACACTGTACACCCACCGGCTGCTAAATGGGATCCAGTTTCCTTTTTCCCCCACCTCAGGTGTCCCACATGAAGGTACAGCCTTCCTCTCTAGGAGCCCTGGTAGTAGCATCCATTTACACATCCCTCAGCCAGCGGCCCAGCCCCCTCACCACTATGCTACTCAGAGCAGGAATTTGCCACCGCCCTGTCTGGGTCCTGTCCTTATAAGGAAGTGGAAGTAGCAGCCTGGGACTGGGGTCATCTTAGCCGGCCACTTCCCACCCTTGCTGTATATAAAGGCTGGACAAAATCTAGTATCCTTAGAAACAACCCATCCCCATGTCCAAAAGATAGCAGGTCACTGCTCTTGATCAGCATCACAATTCCCAGCTGGGGCAGAGGAGTTTATCACAGGAGAAATGAGGTAGAAGTAGCGATTAAGGAATAGAACATAGCTCAATACATTCCAAACCCCACACACAGCAAGCATTAGATACCAGAGCACTTCACATAGCCACACGACCTAAAACTCACCCAGTACTTGGGGTTCAGATCTAAAGTGGAAAGGGAGGGAGGAAGAAAGAGTGAGAAAAGAAAATGAAGAACTGAGAAGAAAAGCCAGGGGGTGCTGTCCTGGAGGATGCTGAAGACCTGACCGATTGGGGGTTAGAGGATAAGTGTTAGAGGGGTGTTCCTCTCCTTAAAGGTGACCTCAAAAGGGGTTTGAGACTACTTACCTGCCGTCTGGTCCTCGGTGAAGTCACACTGTTCAGAGAAGAAGGGAGCGTTAGCATCGGGAACTCCAAACCCCTAGGTTCTATCCCATAACTGAACCACAAACTCCTGTTCCTTGCTTGGGACGCGCTTCCTAGCAGGAAAGGACCCCCGACTTTCCAACCCCCGCCCCTCCTACCGTCCAGGCCCTCAGGTTCCCTACTTTCTGCCCTCCCTTCATCCTCTGCCTCGGCTTCCCGCCCCAAATCCCGCTCGTCCGCCCAGGCCCCGGGCCCCACCATCTTGACTGCTCAGGTCTGGGGACCTTTTCCTGCAGTAATGGCTCCGATTCCAGGCCCAACCCTAGTCTTAGTACTTCCCCTGACGTCACCCTCGGCGGATCCAGCCAATAGGAATCCTGCCTGAGTTTATGCAAAGGATATTGCTACATTAGCAATCAAGTGGGCCGGATCCGCCGCCGCTGACTTCTCTTCGTCGCCCTTCCAGGTGTATGTAACTGCTGGTGAAGGGAGTAGGGGTGGGGCACAACGATAGTGCTCTTCGGAGCAGCGAAAGAAGAGCAGAATATCAGATTTGGGGAGAAGCGAGCCCCTTTCCTCCCTCTCCCAACTCTGAAGAAAACAACAGGCCGAGGGAGGAACCATTTTTTTTATTTTAAAACAATTAGGTGGCCTCCTAGTGGCAGGAACGTGCTTCCGCCTGCGGGGGAGAAGGGAACAGTATCCGGCCCCTCGGAATCTGTGGAAAAAAGATGAAAGTTGCCAGGCTCTGGCCCTCACACAGAAACTTGGCAAGAAAATGCACTCCCCTAATGTTATGCTCTGGATGAGGAAAGGGAAGGAGGCTGGCCTCTCAAGGCGGGGGTGAGGCTGGGGGTCCCCTACCTGTAGAGCTCAGACGCTTAGGATGTGCTTCAGGAAGGCTGCAGAGAGAGCGGGTAAGAGGAGCTTCAGAAACAGGCCGTTACTCTGCCTCTAGAGAATCCGGGTCACAGGTGCCCCCCACCACCACCACATAAGTGGCAAGGGGCCCACTCCCCACCTCCCTGTTCCTTCTCCTCTGGCCCTCACCCTCATAGTTGATGCAGCCGTTGCTGTCCTCATGCCCTGCCAGAACAGTCTCCACCTCCTCCTCAGTCATCTTCTCTCCTGAACCGGGCACACCTTCTTAGCTTCACCTGCCCTCCCTCACCAAACTCAGGTCTCACTTTTGTAGGTGGTACCTCCTTTTTTCTATCCTGTAGACTTGCCTAAATCAGCTGTCCCCCAAGGGAATCCTCCCCTTGTCATGATAATGCATTGCATGTGTTCTGGCATGTGTTGCTTTCTATTTCATCTGCGTGAAGACAGTGTCTTGGTGTTGGTGAAAGCTTGACAAATGGGGAAAATGAATTCCAGAAAGTTAATAACCTTATACTAGGCCACAGAGCATAAGCATCTCTTTCAAAACTCAGAGAGTCATCCTCGTTCTCTCTCCTCTGAGCTTTGTGTGCCCCCTTACTTGAGCCTCTGCAGGAGGAAGCCCTATAAATTCTGCTCTGACCTGACTGACCATGACCTAGCCCCCTCCCTGGCTCTGCCCACCTGGTTAACCTTCTTCCTCTCTACCCCACAAGTATTTTGGTCCCTGCCTCACCTAAGGTGGTGAGAACGTGTCTGAGCTCTGCTCCCATGACTTTGCCATTCCCCTCCTTGTCAAACACCCGAAGGCCCTCCAAGTAGTCCTCATATGTGCCTTGGTCCCGGTTCTTGGCCACTGCCTGAAGCATGGGTAGGAAAGTCTCAAAGTCCACACGCCTGGACTTCAGTTCTAGAGGTTAGGAAGAAGTGAGGGGGAGAGGTCACTGTGGTGTTAACCAGGACCCAGCTCCCATCCCTACCACAAAGGTTTTCTTCTGTTGAACATTTCAGGATGTTTTTCTGTGCCTGTGCATCTTAAGCATCCTTTGCACCTTACCAACATTCCTGGGTTTTACCCTTTGCACCTTTACCAACAAATAAAACCTAAATTGTTCCAAGGGTCCTCTTACCATCAGTCTTGGGGTTCCCCAGGACCTTGAGCACCTCGGCGTTGGTGGGGTTCTGACCCAGGGCCCTCATCACGTCCCCACACTGACTGTACAGGATCTTGCCATCACCTACTCGATCAAACAGCTCAAAAGCCTCCTTGAACTCTGAGGTTATAAGGAAGAGTCAATGTGGACCAGGGGTTCCAGTTATTCCCAGGCAGAAAGGAGGGTCAGAAAATACGTATGCTAGCTCTGGGGAGAACAAGGGACACAAAGAAGACTAGTGTGGGAGGCTTCAAAGTCAGGACTGAAGTTAGGGGAATATAAAGAGGATCTGAACAAGGGCTTAGGAGTGGATAGCGGGGCTTAGGGACCAGGTTCTCCTCACCCTCCAGCTGGTCCTTGTTAAACTCGATCTGTGGAAGAAAAAGCAGGTGAGGAGGGAGGACAGAGGTTATTAAATCCCTCTCCAGCACTCCTCCCAACCAACTGGCAGCCACTTCTAAGAAGGGGCCCAAAGAGATCAGTCTGGGAGCCCAGCCACTACAGTCCCATTCCCAGCTCTGGGCCTTGGGAGAATCCCAAGAGGAGGAATTATAGAGGGAAGGGTTTCCAGGGAACAGGGTTAATCCCATGCCACCTGTTCCCCTCCCTCCACTGCCCTGAGCCCTGCATCCCTCACATAACTGGGGGCTGAACAAAGGCTAAATTTACCCCTGGCCCCCAGCTGTGATTGTCTAACAAGCCTGTCCTCTTCAGCCATCCTTTCTGAGGTTGAGTTGTGATTTTTGAGACAGCATCTCCTTCCCTTCACCTTGAAAAAGTCATCCTCAGACCCAGATGTTCTCCATCTCCCAGTCCTGACTCCAGTAGAAGTGTGTGTGTGTGCACAGGTATGTGTGTTTGTCCACATATGTGTTACAGGTTACAAGCAGAAACAGCACAGAACAGTCTGGATGCTTTCAAATGGGGAAATCCCAAGCTCATCCCAGTGTTCAGTAACTTTAGCTCCTAGACTCCCTCTACTCCCCTAGACTATACCCTACCCTTCTACCACCCTCTCCAAATTCTACCCTCACTTTCGGGGGACTCACCACTACTTTGGAGAGATCCATAGGGGGCTCCTGGGGCTTTCCAGGGGCTAGAGATGCAGCTGATTCAGCCTTGGCCTTGGCTGGAAGAACCCCTGCTACTGGCTTGGCAGCAGGCTTTGAGGTAGAGGGTCCCAGTGGCTTCTTCACAGGAACATCCTTCTTGGGAGGCATGATGTCCGGTAGGCAAAGGACAGTGTGTCGATGGGACACCCATCTCTGTTTAAATAGCCAGGGAGTCTGGGATGTCAAGGGGCGGGGGCAGAGGCAGGGAGCCAGTTGGCAGTGTTGAGAGTGAGGTAGAGGAGAGAGATGCCTGTTTGCCCTCACTCCCCTGGCCTCCTGTCCCAGGGTCTTCCCTCCACAGTCCACTCCTTCCCAAAAGTTGGCTAGAACAATGTCCCCATTGGGGTCAGGGAGAGGACGTCTGAGTCTGCCCATGATGGGTGAAGATTGAATGCTTGCTGATGTCACTGAGACACATAGAGGTATGGCAAAAAAAAAAAGGGGATCTTGGCGTTCCAGCCCCTTGACTCAGGGTAGCTACTGGCCCTTTGCTTTAGCAGCTTTAGATTCTTGAAGGCTGAGAGCAGAGAGGAGAGCTTTGAAAAGTGAAGTCTAAGGGTAGTGAACAGTCCTGGTATGGAGCTGTGTGTTAATTAGCTGGACTGCAAAGTTGCTTTAAACCGGTGGTTCAAGCTCACCAGCTGCTCCTCGGAAACCTTATACAGGGTCGCTAAGGGTCAGAACTGATTCAAGGGCACTCAAAAACAACAAACAAGGGTAGTGAAAGGTGAAAAAGCAAGCAACCATCCTATCCCATGGGTGAGGAGCAATGGTAGTTGACCCCAGTCTAATCCCCAGCACCTGTAGTCCCTGGCCCCTGCCCAGTCCAGAACTGGACTGTTCACAATATAGAGAAAGAATAGCAACAGGAAGGGAGTGTGACACCCTCCCCCATTGTCTCCTCTACCTTTTGTTGTTTTAGGGGTGGAGACAAAGGTCACGTTTCACACCCACCACCCAGTCTCAAATCCTTGGTCATCGAAATCAGACAAGGGATAGGATGCATACCTAACCTGCACGGTCTGGGTGGCACCTGGAGAAGGGGGCAGGCGAAGAGCCTAAATAGTCTAATCCAGTAGGATGTGTGAGGGAGATACTATGGGCTCCAAGAGTATTCAACCCCAAACAGGATACTAAAAGCTCTGACTCGAGTGCCAGGTCACTCACGAGCTTTGCTGGGGTCCCTAGCAAAGGGTCGGAGGTGGGGAGGGCATTAGGGGAAAGGATGCATACTACTTTTGTTCTGCGGTGTAAAGATGGAGTGGATTAGGTAGCATTCTGGGAAAGGTAGCAGTGATTCCACGTATTGTCTAGGGTTCAGAGTGCTGATGTTGGGTCTCCTACTCGCAAAAATGCATGAATCTCACAACCGCAGATGGTCCCATTTTAAGAAAATCAGGAATCATTCCTCCCGCAGGGAGTACACCCTAAACTGACAGACACACACACACACACACACACACACATACACACAGTGCTATAAATAAAACAAGGAGCCCCAAACCAGTCCCCAAAAACTCACCCTGCGGGATCCCGCGAAGGGGAGGGGGCGGGGCACAGTACGGCTTTGGCCCCTGAAGGGTTAATTCCGGCCGCCTCGAAGCATGCCGGGAGTTGTAGTACTCGCGCGTCCGCGGCCTCACGGGAAACGACTCTCTAACTTTAAGCGACGCAGAGGCTGTAGCTTCCGGCGAGTAGCAACGGTTGTTGATTTGGCTCATTCCAGCGCGCTTTTTGTCCCGGTACTGAAAGGCAATGAGCAGTTTACAACCCTCAGCCCCTGACCTTAAATCCCCGCGGGGACGCCTTAATTAGCTCTGGTGAATTTAGTGTGGGTGGAGACACATTTCTGGATCGACTGGTGAGAAAAGTTCAGAACCTGGGGAACGGCTGAATCTGCAGCAGGCGGAATGAAGGTCAGATACCAGGAAGCACTGCCGTGGGAAGTGCAACTGTGGTCTCTTCTGCTTCCTCTGCGGATGGTAGAAAGAAAACAGAGGCCATTGAATTGCTGGGTGACTTAGAGCAGTACTTTACAAAGTTCTTTTTTTGTTTTTTAGTGAGCTGGTCGTTGAATTAGATGTTCAGACTTGGTATTAAAGCCCTGTCATCTGCCCCACAGGTAGTTTAATCTCTCCAAATGGAGGGTTTCTCTCCGACGGTCGAAACTGCCCCACCAGCCTCTCACTCCGAGTCTCTTCTGCCCAGCTTGGTTTATTTCCTCAGACATTCATCTGTGCTGGGTGAGGGAGAGGACCAGTCTGGGGTCTACCTTCTCTCACTAGTTCAGAAAATGTGGAGGCGCTCCTCCTGCCAGAATTTAGGCTATATATAGAAGCAGAAAAAGAGCTCTGGTAGCGTAGTGGTTACGAATCGGGCTGTAAACCTTAAGGTAAGCAGTTCGAAACTACCAGCTGTCCCGCGGGAGAAAGATGAGGCGTTCTGCTCCCGTAAGGATTTACAGCCTCGGAAACCCTGTACAGGGTCGCTATGAGTCGGAACCCACACAGCCACCACCACCACCATAGAAGTAGAAAGAAGGATCTGAGTACAAGGTGGTGGTTGTTAAGTGCGACCTACAGCGACGCTGTATGGGGTTTCCAAGGAGCAGCTGATGAGCTTGACCCTCCGACCTTGCAGTTTAAACAACTTTGCAGTCTGACGCATTAGCCCACAGCGCCACACCAGGAGTACAGGGTTGTGGGTGAGGTGGGGGGGTTAGTATTTGTTGTTGTTATGTGCCGAGGCTGTAAATCTTTACGGGAGCAGAACACCTCATCTTTCTCCCGCGGAACAGCTGGTCGTTTCGAACTGCTGACCTTGAGGTTTGCAGCCCGATTCGTAACCACTACGCTACCAGAGCTCCTTGGGGGTTAATATAAATGAATGTAATAGGGAAAGAGTAGAATAACAGGGTTGTATTCACAGAAATGAGAACTGAAAAATAATAATGGTAATGCTGATGATGGCTATCATTCCTTGACACCGCCGCAGACCAGGTATTGCATGAAGAGGCTAAATTATATCAGAGAGACAGCGTTTGGTGTAGATGCTATTGAGTCAGTTCCAACTCATAGTCACCCTATGTACAACAGAATGAAACACTACAGGCCCTGTGCCATTCTCACAATTGTTGCTGTTTGAGTTCCTTGTAGCAGCCACTGTATATTAATCAGTCTCATTGAGATCTTGCTCTTTTTTGCTGACCCTCTACTTCACCAAGCATGGTGTCCTTCTCCAGAGATTGGTCCATCTGCTGATATATCCAAAATACATGAGATGGAAGTTTTACCATCCTCACTCTGAGAAACATTCTGGCTGTACTTCTAAGACAGATTTGTTGACTTTTCTGGTGGTGGTGTTGTTAAGTGCCATTGAGCTTGAACTTGTAGAGGGTTTTTGAAACTTTAAATCTTCAAGGGAGCAGAGTCTCATCTTCTGACGATTGGCTTCAATATTCCTCACCAACAATATAATTCAAGACATCAGTTCTTTGGTCTTCCTTATTCACTGTCCAACTTTGACTTGCATATGAGGCAACTGAAAATACCATGGTTTGGGTCAGTAGAACATTGGTGCTTAAAGTGACACTTTTGCTTTTGAACACTGAAAAGAGGGATTTTGCAGCAGATTTTCTTAATGCTTGATTTGACAGCTGTTTCCATGATCATTGATTGTGGATCCAAGTACAATGAAATCTTTGACAGCTTCAATGTGTTTTCTAATTATCATATTACTTACTGGTTTAATTGTGAAGATTTTTGTTTTCTTAATGTTGAGGTGTAGGCCACACTGAAGGCTGTAGTCTTTGATCTTCATTAGTATGTGCTTCAAGTCCTCTTGAATCAATTTGTTAATGGGTCTTCTTGCAGTCCTGATGTTTCATTCTTCTTCATATAGTCCAGCTTCTTGGATATTTTGCTCAGCCTACTGAATAAGTATGGTGAGAGACACAACCCTGATGCATACCCTTCCTGATTTTAAACCATACAGTATCCCTTTGGTCTGTTTGAATTACTGCCTTTGGGCCTATGTATAGAAGGTGTGCTAAACTATGTGGGTTCAGACCAGCTTGTTCACATTTGAATGTGTTGCCACATACTTGCTGGTAACCTACAAATTCGTTAGCAATCTGTGCCTCAGTTTCCTGTCTGTAAAATAAGAAAAATTTCATAGGTCTATTGGAAGAATTAGATTTGTTAATAGATTTAAAATAGAATAGGTCCAGCCAAGAGTGTTAAATAAAATTCTTTTAATTTACCCCTACGTATGAGGTAGGTGGCATGAGAGGGCTTCAAAAAGTTCGTTGTTGTTGTTGTTAAGTGCCTTCGAGTCGGAGTCGACCCATAGCGACCCTGTACAGGGTTTCCGAGGGTGTAAATCCTTACGGGAGTAGAAAGCCTCATCTTTCTCCTGCGGAGCGGCTGGTAGTTTCGAACCACTGACCTTAAAGTTCGCAGCCCGATTCGTAACCACTACGCTACCAGAGCTCCTAAAAGTTCGTGGCAGATGGAATTAAAGGACAATGGAATTTTTTCACAAGATTTTCTGACGCCCTCTCATATTTTTCTCATTTTACATTCATGAAGGAGTGTGAAGAGATTGTTTCTCTTTAAGTGTTTGCTTAAAGAACTGTTCTTATTGTTAAGTGCCTTTGAGTCAGTTCCGACTCATTGTGACCCTCTCTAAGGTTTTTGAGGGCGGTTCTGACTCATAGTGACCCTGTATAGGGTTTTTGAGGGCAGCTGGTAAGCGTGAACTGCTGACCTTATGGTTCAAAATGACCTTGAACTCCAGCGCATTAACCCACAGTGCCACACCGCAATTCGTAAGACAACTGGGGAAGAGCCATATCACAGATGACTTTTTGTGTCTTTTATCAGTTTCTGAGAAGTTGGTTTCTAAGAAGTGATTTGTCTCATTTTTTTAACCCTCCTCTTTCCCCCTAGCCATACCACCTTGGGCACTTTGCCAAGTATGAGCAGTTTTGACATCAGCTGACTTTAGCATTTTTTTGCCTTCCTTATAGATAATTAATACAAGGAGAAAAGAGAAAACCCTTAACAGAAACCAACTGAAGAACTCGTCTTCATTTTCTGTACTATCCGTATCTTTTAATCATAAACAAGACCTGGACTGAACATGGTCCTAAATTGGGTTTAGGTAATTTATGTATCTTGTATATGGATTGTCTGTGACAAATGCCAACTC